AAATAACAACATCCCTTCATTTCTAATCTCCCATCACCACAACAAAACCCTTCGATCTCAAGGTATTAAACCCATCCATAGCCCTACACTTTCCATAACACCAATAACATAAATAAAACCTCAAACAAACAAGACAAAATTGTAGAAAAAAACACAAAACAAAACAAATCAAAACAAAACAAAACCCCTTATTAAGCAGATAATTTAACCCCTTCATCCCATCCCATCTTCCCAACCTCCACAATCTTCTTCTTGTTCAAAACCAAACCTCCATCAATACTCTCCATGCTCCCACTCAACCCATCATCCACAAAATCACCCACCCTCTTCACTTTCCCACTTGGCTCGACCGGATAATTCCCCGAAAAACACGCATAACAAAAGTTATTCGCATCCTTCCCCAATAACCCCTTCAAGCTATCAATCGGCAAGAACGCAAGTGTATCCGACCCAATAAACTGCCTAATCTCCTCCACACTCATTCTATTCGAGATCAACTCCTCCGTGCTCGGTGTATCTACACCATAATAGCACGACCCAATTATCGGTGGACTTGCAATCCTCATATGGACCTCTTTCGCACCCGCTTCTTTCAAAAGCCTCACGATTTTCGAGCTCGTGGTACCCCTCACGATTGAGTCATCCACAACCACCACACGTTTACCTTCTAAGACCGCACGCACGGGAGATAACTTCAATTTCACCCCAAAATCGCGAATTTTTTGAGAGGGCTCGATAAATGTTCTCCCGACATAATGGGACCGTATAAGCCCTTGTTGAAAAGGGACTCCGGCTTTCTCGGCATATCCCAATGCCGCAACAACTCCCGAGTCAGGCACGGCAATCACGACATCACATTCGACGGGTGCTTCGGTAGCCAAGATTTCACCAAATGCACGCCTCGATTCATATACGGATCGGCCAAAAACTACGGAATTTGGCAAGGCGAAGTAGATATGCTCGAAAATGCAAGATTTGGGCTCGGGATGTGGCATCAAGCAAACGGACCCAACTCCTTCTTTGTCGACCACGATAACTTCACCGGGATACACTTCTCGTTCGTAAGTGGCCTCGATTAAATCCAATGCGCAAGTTTCCGAAGCAAAAACCACGGCCCCATTGCTCCTCCTACCCATCACCAATGGCCTGAACCCAAAAGGGTCCCTAACAGCTACGAGTTTATCTTCGGTCAAGAAAACCATTGAATAAGCCCCTTTAAGCTTCTCGCAGGCCTCAATGATTCTAGTGAAAAAAGGCCGGGCCTTGGAGATTGCGATTAGGTGCAGGACAACCTCTGTGTCGGAGCTTGTGTTGAAAATGGACCCACTCTCCTCGAGCTCGGCACGAAGGGACTGATAATTTACCAAATTGCCATTGTGGGCTACTCCGACCGAGCCGAATCTGTAGCCGGCGACAAATGGCTGGACGTTTTTTAGCATGGAGGAGCCGGCGGTGGAGTACCTGACGTGGCCTATGGCGTTTTCTCCTGGCAATTTGTCGAGCTTGGACTGATTGAAAACCTCGGAGACGAGGCCGACGCCGGTGACCGACTGGAGGACGCCGTCGTGAACCGACACGATGCCGGCGCCCTCCTGGCCGCGGTGCTGGAGGGCGTGAAGGGCTAAATAGCAGAGGCGGGAGGCTTCCGGGTCGCCGTAGATGCCCACCACGCCGCACTCCTCGCGGGGCTTTTCGTCGTCGTCGGGGGAGAACATCGGGTCGTCGTCGATCGAGGCCGTCGGCTTTTTGTGGGTTGAGGCGACGACATCTGAGATGGGGTTTTTGGAGAGGGTGACGTGGAGGGGTTTTTGTAGGGTTTTGAAGGAGGAGAACGGCCTGGAGGCTGGCGGAGGCGCGAGGAGGGCGGCGGAGGAGGTGGGGTACGATGAGGCAGCCACCACGGCGGTCGAGGAGGCGGCGGCGGCGGTGGCCATGGCGGTGTTTGAGGTGATATGGAATTGAGGACTTAATTAGGTTTAGATTTTTGGTGGGTTTTTTTGTGTGTTTTATTTTTTGGGAAAGTGCGGCGAGTGATAGGAGATTTCGGTAGGGCGTACGGGTCGGTGTTTGACTGTGAGTGACGTGGAGGGTTATGATTGGTCTGTGATGATTTGAGTGAAAATTGGGGGAAAGAGGTACAGATGAAATCTTTCTTACTCGAGTTGATGTGACTTGGTCGTGTGCTCCTTGTTCTTTTTTACCTCTTTTATTTTATGTGGATTTTAGTTTTAGGTTTAGCACATGAAAAAAAGAAAAATCTAGTTGGGTTGAATTTTGAGACCGCAACTAATTTAAATTTGCTTTTAGTGAATAGAATTTGTGATTGTAATGATTCTTTGCAAAAAAAAAAAATGTTTGACTAAATTTCCCTTTGTGTTAAATTATATAATCGTGATAATATTGTATTGAAATTGGTGTTTATGTAAGTTATTAATGAAATAGATTGACATGAGAATACCTTTTTATAAAATAATATGATAGCTAGGATTACATGATTTAGAATTTCAATCGCTCAAAACTAAAAGTTGTTAAACAATACTAATCGCTCGAGTTTTGATTTAGCTTGTTGAGACTCGATTTGAGCTTAAGCTCATCGGGCTTGGAAAATAAAAGTTATTCTCTGCTAAGTTCATTGGGCTTGAAAAATAAAAGTTTGACATAATAAGACTCAAACTCAACTCGATTATCAAAATTAACAAGCCTAATTTGTGCTCGTTCAGTTAATAGCTCGACTCGTGAAAGACTCGAGCTTTCACTCGAGTACAGGAGCTCAAAATCGGCACGATTCGATTATAGCTCTAGGCTAATTGCCAAACACAATCAAAATGACAAGCATCTGATCCAAAAGCGCGAAATTCATAAGTGTGCTACGCCTACACGTAAAATCTAAAGAACACAAAATGAAAGGTGGGAATAATGGATCTATTCACATTCCAGAAAGCACGATACACCTAGCGTGTGTGATAGAGTGGTCCCGGTGCATATGAACCAAACAACTGGGTAACAAACATATGGACCAACAATTACAGGGAATATCTCACACCCTTTTAAAAGTTAGAATCTAAACCAAGCATGAGCATCATATGAGGGCCCATATTCCCCAAATGAATCTAATCCAAGCATCATAAAAGTTGAATGATAAGATATATCTCTACCTTTGGATATTTGCTGATACTATGCCATCCATTTCACAACAAGAGTTTCAAATGGACACGAAAATAACAAAAACTCGTCAAAATAGTAAAGTACATCAAATCCATATCTTGAAAGAGTTAATATGAATCTCAAAGCCGGCAGTTCGGTTCGCTCTTTCGAAAAGAGAGAATTTATTCATAAACCGAGCCCATGAAGAGACGTACAATTTCCCACATCGATGAATTTCAAATATAACTATGGCAGGTATCGTAGGAAGATGGGTGAAAAAAGGGAAAAGAAAAGGATATGGAGCATCATAATTGCTTAATTTTGGCATTTCTTGGGAGTTTTTAATCACCAGGAATATTTGCAAGCAGTTCTTGCCCGAGCATACATTAACCTGTTCTCATGATAATGTGAACACCGCTATCAGTGTCGACAATGTCACTGATTTCCCCAACCTTCAAACCGAACGCGGCTTCTTCAAATGGTTTCTGCATCTGACCACGGCCAAAAGGACCTAAAACGGGCATACAGAAATTTTTTTATAGCAAGTATCCAATAATGAGACTTGGTTGATAAATACAATAAAAATATATAAATGAAGGGATTTATATAAGCTTATCAGCCAATTATAGCCTACTGACAATAGTAAACATTAGAATTAAACAGAACACATGTGGGTCTCTTTCACAGACAACCAACTTCTAATGTGAAGTTCATTTACTCTTTCCTATTCCAAATGAAAAGAAAACGAATATCTACTCCATATAGTTTCGTAAACAAAAGGACAAACATGGAATTGAGATGATGTAGCCAGCAATGAGAAAATTCTGAACCCAGAAAGACAAAATAACAATGGACATTAAAGTGGCACTGAAAGTTAAAGGAGAAACTTATGTGAACTAGCTAAGTGGAAATTCAGAAAGTTAAAGAATTCAGTTTGTTTTTTCAAGATTAACAAGGTTAAAGAGCAGTGGGGAGTAACATCTCTTTACACACAAAGCTTGACTACAGTTCACAGCAGGGAGCTGTGAATGACAAAGATGTGTAAGCATGGATTGGCAAAAAGTGAAAGTAATGTACTCCTGTATCATAATATTATTAGTAAATCAGAAAGAGAAAAAGCTTGTTGCTATCAGCAAGCAAGCAGGACATTTGCTTAAACCTGTGTCTGTCACTAACGCAAATCTAACTTCCATAAAACATTAATACCAAAAAATCATGGTACATTACGTGTTGGAACTCCCGATTTCAGCATTCAAGTAACCAATCTAGTATGTAAAGCATCAACCTCAGGCTCGGGAAAGTCAAATATGGATTCACAAACACCCATTTCTAGTGGACTTCGATTCTTATTATGGTTTGGCCCCTACCAGTCCTTCACTTGCTAATCATTCGCGAGTTGAACTCGCTCAGAAAGCCTATTCACAGAAACCATTTAGTATTCTGCCAAAAATCTCTATTTTCATCCGAAGGTCCAGAAGCCTATTCACAAAAATCTCCATCTCCGGCAGCACTTAATCTAAAGACCGGAACTGCTATCGAACCACCAGAGACAGTGGATATCTACGAACATCTAAGATTCAGATGTCAGTCCGAACAAGATGGATGAGAAACTAAACCGGGACATTATAAAACTTGATTGTTCCGAAAAAGTTTAACAATTAATTTTCGGCAATCATATTTACAGTGTTGAAATAACAAAAGAATTCATCCTTACGTAACAAATTCTTTGCTTTTAGCTGCAGATCTTTACCATATATGAGACCACATTCTTTATTTTTAGTGGCATATCTGAAGTACCTTAAGATCTGACCAAAATTTATTACCTGTTTAGATGAAGGCTCAAAGACCAAATACCTAATGGTACATACCTAATAGTTTACTCTCAAATTCCATTATTTCACCAACTCAAGTCTAACTGTAGAGTCTAACCATACAAATTTTAAGCATAGTCGAGCAAAGTTTAGATTATAGAAGCAAAACAGGCATAAAAACCACTGCATTCAAATTCTAGTTTCCTCTTTATAGAGCAATCTAGGGTAATGTTCTCATGATTGATTGCCCAACGTGAATCATATCATTGCATCAAATCTTCAAGCAAAATCATAAGATCATAGGGACAGTTCAAATAATTACAGAAAAAACGATACCGAGATCGCCGCCGCGCTTGGCCGAGCTGCAGTCGGAGAATCGAGAAGCTACGTCGTCGAACCTCGCCTTTCCGGAGAGGATGTCATCGCGGAGCGTTTTGAGCTGGACGACGGCACTGTCCCTGGTGGTGGCGGAGATGCGGCGGCCATCGGGGTCCTTCCAGGAGGATTTCCGGCGGGATCCTTCGTGCTTAATCAGTATGTGCGACGCCTTGACCTGCTGGCTCGACGACATTTCGCCGATTTAGCTTCCGGACGGTGAGGCTGTGGGAGATTGAAGAGAGAAAGAGTTTGGTGGCAATGGTTAATGGGCGTGTGTGTGTGACCCTGTGGAAAATGCTGGTTTTGACTTTTGAGGTTAATTTGAATTAGTTCAAGGGTTCGCAAAAGATAAAGCGACGTCGTGTCGTTTGACTACATGAAAGAGGAGTGCATTTGATTGTTGTTTTCAAGCTTATGATTGAATATAATTTTTTTTTTTAAAAAAAAATCTAATTATTTCTAACTTATTATTTTTTTTACTTCAAATTTAATTTAATTTTAACTCAACTCCACTAATATAATTCAATCATTCTTACACATTATATTAACTTTAACTATTCATGCACTCACATAATTTTACCTAATTATCACTTTACATAATCTTTCTCTTATTTTTACATCAAATCAACTTTAATTATTTTATTTCAGATATTATTTTAATATAAACTCAAAATTTCACTAACAACTAATCTCTTTTTTAAAATTAATCATATCAAACTAAAAAATCTAAATAAAATAAAAAAACATCTTATATCCAAGGGTTAACATAATTTCAATATAAAATATGACAATTTAGGACTAGAACTTGATGATCAACTATCATTTTTAACTTTAAAAAATTAAAATTTTAATTGTAAATCGTAATATCTGAAACTATGGATTTATAACTTGAAACGCTGTTATTAATAAAATAAATAAAAATATTTCAAATTTTCTGCACCTCCATGGTGCACCAAGCCGCTGCTCCGTCCAAGCGGTGCCGGCGCTGGAGCCACCCTTCCCCTTCCTTGCTGCGAGACCACGTTTGGGCTGCACCTTGTATCGCGGGTGAGGTCCTCGTTGACGAGGAGGAGGTGTGGGGTGCCACCGCCTCTCGGACAGCCGCTCTGGCCATGGAGTTGCTGGCGTAGACGTTGAAGTTCTTGCCCATTTCGTGCCTTCGGATTTTGACCGTCCCTTTTGGCTGACAGTGGCAGAATTGGCTCACATCTTTCTCTCGGAGGTCGGTGATCGGTTGCCGCAATTGAGGGGGTGGTGTTGGCGGTCCTCTCGTATGGTTGATGTCAGTTGCTTGGTTGGTTTTGCTCCCTCAACACCCGTTTCTCTCTCGACTGAAGGTTGCGGGAGCTCATATATGGGTTGAGACTCATCTCCTCGCCAAATATAACTAGGCGATTGAGTAAGTTCACAATTTTTGGTTTCTGGGGTCTCTGATTTGCTGCTCTCTTTTAGTTTCTCGATTGTAGGTTTGAATCGTTGTGAGGTTTGGCCTGTGTACTGGTTCGGATGGCTGTAGCGGTGTGCTCGTAAGATGCAAGGGAGGTGGTATTCTTTTGTTAGTGTAGGTGTATGTTATAGTATTTTCTTATTTTTTCTTCAGTTTTTAGTTTTATGTCCAGTTGTGTCTAGTTTGTCGGTCTTCTTTATGGAGTTTTTTGGTCTCCTTCTGTGGGAGTGTTCCTGGTAATCTTGTTACTTCTCGTGATTGATTGTGTAATTCCATTGTGGAGGTGAATCAAGACTTTGTTCTGGTTTTACTCTAGTGATGTCAGTTGACACGTCAGATGTATTTTTTTTTGGAGTTTTAATATATTGTCATTTGAAAAAAAAAATTATATTCAATTCCTATTCTCATTAACTTTGTTCTTANTGATATTTGGGCCGGATCACAAAAATTGGGCCGAACTTCAACACACAATAAAGTCAGTAAAGAAAACGGAAGAATTTTTCCGTCCATTTTATTTCCTTCACTCATTTGTTCTCTGCGCGTGTCCAAGATCATAGCCATGGCGCCGCCTCCTGGACCGTACTCCGGCACCAGCAGCCTCGCATTGGTAGCCTCCTTTTTAATCTGGATTTATCAATCATTATTGATTTTAATTTTAGCATTGTGTGTGTATATAAATATATTTGCTTGAGATTTTTTTTTTCTTGTGAATTTCGACAGGTTGCTAGGGTTTCTGCATTTTCATTCGGGCTCGTCTACGGGAGCTTAAAGCTTAAGATTCTTAAGGTATTTCTCGTTTTAATTTTTGTTTTTCAATTCTTTAATGGAAATTTGAGTAGATATCTTGGTACAAACTGAATTGAGCTTTACTTGGATTTTTTAAAAGGGGGTGTGGATTTTCAGTTTGTTTTGATTGGTTCCAATGGTTTTGGTATTCACTATGTTTGGATTTCGCTTGTGGTGGCTATCACTTTAGCTTATCTCTCTTAGTTCAAAACCAAGTCTAAGAGCTTTGCCTGTAAACTGAGGCTGAAATATGAAATATGTTCTGCTGATTTATGTTTCTGAATCATCTTAATGATAATTTTAATTTTAGGTGATATTGTTTTGTAAATTGAAAATCTCTGGAAAATAAACTTGGTGAAAGATAGAAGTTGTGTTTGGTAAGCATATAAGCTAGCTTATAGCTTATTTTGATTAGCATATAAGCTTCATGTATTCAAATAAGCTTGCAAATAAGCTTGGTTTGGGAGGAAGAGCTTTTTTCAAAAGCTCGAGATTATCTCATAAGCTTTATTGGGTAGTTTTTCAAATAAACCCATTGAAATTTTATTTCAGCTAGCTTATTAATAAATTTTACCAAATACTTTTTTATCATATAAGCTAGTTTTTTAACCATAGGTCATAAGCTATTAGCTATAAGATCGAATTCACTTAAAAGCTATAAGCTAGCTTATGTAATCTGTATAGGTTTATTGTATCAAATCCAAGTATGGACTTTTCGAGGTGATCTAAATTCTCAATATCACCACAAATGTCTATACCCATCACAAAAGTTCGATCCTTCCCACACGAGGTTTATGACTGTTTAGATTGCATACTCTCAATGGTAATAAACCTTTTGTGGCAAGAAGAAATTTTTTGTGTTTGTTATGGTTGTAATTTAATAGAATGAAATAATATGTCCCGAGCCATCGTGTGAGAAGCAGTAAGTTTTGGCGCAAAACCTTTCTTCGCGTCAGTATCCATTTAATTGTATTCGCGGATCACAATCCTGCAGTAATAAAAACATTACGGAACTATTTCAACAACAACAACAACAACATACCCAGTATATTCCCAACAGGTTGGGGTCTGGGGGGTCAGTTGTACGCAAACCTTACCCTTGTAATTATACAAGAAGGCTGTTTCTGTAGCGACCCAAGGTGCATTGCGCCGTTTGATATATATATATATATATATTTTCTAGAAACTTCACTAATAGAAGAAGCACTAGAATTTAATTGAGCCATTTTGATCTAGTCTATTATTAGCACTATGCCAAGAGAATTGTCAACAATGACTCTTCCAGCTCCATTTGCAATGGACAATATGAACGGTAACAATGAAGAAAACTCGTGATGTAAATAATGTCCAAATTAGTTGAGCAAGTTCTAATTTCTTTGCAAAGAATGTCCCAACATTTTTATTTTTTTTAAAGAAAAGATTGTTATGATATAGTCTGTGCCTCGTTTTCTTCTCTAACCAGCTTGCCTGGTATGTGTGAAGATATGTAGTATGAATTATGGTATATGATGATGACCATTATTTCTTTCTTTCTTTCTCTCTTTCTTTATATATATATATATATATGCCTTGTGCTACCACTAGCTTTGTAACCATTCGATTATTGAACGTTTTTCATATGCATTGTTACCATATGTTTCCTGAACTTTTTCGTTTTTTCCCTTTCTGTGCATCCAGGCGCAGGCCAAGTCTCATAAGAAGGCTGAAGCTAAAGGGCATCATTAGAGGCTTTTCCCCTTTTCTTATTTTTTTGGATGAAATAATTGTCTTGAGGAAAATGAAGAGCAGATGAGCAGGGACCATATGTTTCTATATTGTAAAATCTCAATCAATGCACATTGTTCTCAATCCGTGATTTTGTTTTGATTTGTTCAATACAGAAATGAATTTACAAATTAGAATGTGCATCACATCAAGCACTAGCCTGGTCCCTATAATTGTGTCACCAATATCAATTTGTATTTGTTGTAGGACTATTGTTAGGCAGATAAGACTGAGGCAGATGAGACGTTTAGTCAGTCTGTACTTTTTTAGAAAAAAACTATGTATAATTTCATATTTGAATAGTAATAACTCAGACAAAAATACAACATTTTATCATATAATTATGCACTTTTTTGCACCAATTGTGACCAAAAGTATCATTTATCCATAGGATAAATGATACTATTGTGTAACATAAAATACTATTGTGTATACTCAACACAATTTTAAGCCATATTAACAAGCCAAAATCACTATCAATTGTGCTGAATGCTTTGGTACACTTGTGGCCAGAATTTGAGTCCTACCCACATTTCAAACTCCTCTTGTGCTGATGTCATTAGACAGCTAATCAACATAAATGATGCCCTCATCATCCATGTCATCGTCTTGCCATTCTTCATCATCATAGCCTCCATCGGATTCATGATCTCCATCTTCTGCGGCTTCTCTCTCTCTCTCTTCCTTTAGTCTATCTAATATAGCAAGTACCTGAATCGATATACATGTAATTGTTAATGTTGAGAAGGTAAATACTTCAAAGCTTAAATACAATTGCAGTTTTTACAATTTAATTTCATATATAGTGTTGCCCCGGGAAAGAATTCAGGAGCAACTCGGGAAATCTCTATCAAAAGAACATATCCTAAAAGAAACTTGACAACAAAATGCTCCAAAAAGTTTCGGTTAGTATAAATTTGTTTGGCATTTTACACATTCTAGCCAACATGCTTCTTTGCTAAAATTCAATACAACTGCAACAGCATCATAACCAAATATAGGATAACTCATCTGAACAAGGAAAAACAATCGAAGGCATCAAAACTCAAATACAAGGAATGGTATTTAAAGGATGCAACACCATTTGCGCATAGAGCAAAATACAATTATGTAATCGATAAACATCGATTTTATTTGTATGATTTTTTTTTTCCCTTTTCAATTGTAGGGATGGCAGAATCAAGCATTATATCTTTACAATGTTTTACATAAAATGCATCTCACTTAAACATATAAGACACCGTGTTTTGCCAAAATGCAGTATACGCAAGATTTATAATCCAACAAGATTAAGTAACCAACAATTTTCAAATTGGAATTAAAAGCTAAAGTAAATCTGACCCGGCTTCCTCGTTCTATAGACTCATCCTCTATGAAACGGACTTCAGGGGTGAGCCGCAACTTCATACGCTTTCCCAGCTGACTGCGTACATACTTTGCTTTTGATTTCAGCCCTGCTATAGCGACTTCTTTTCCTCTTTCATCTCCAAAAACAGATACATACACTTTGACAACCTACATTTAAAAGTAAATAAAATGCTTAAACATTTCAGACGATGATATAATAACAATTTAACAAACACCTGAAGTTTTTGTTTCTTATTTTCAGTCGGAATAGCTGAATTTACAATCCAATCAACCATCAACTTGCACATAAGTATCACGCATAAAACCTCCTTGGACTTGAAACAACAATTGAACCAAAAGCTTGAAAATACGAAAGAGACAAGAATAATATGCTTTAATGCGTATAGAAGATCTTATGATCCTTAAACACAAAGGGGATCATCTAACAATCCTATGATTCGGCTTATGTGCATTGTAAGAACCGACTAATCCAACAATTTCGAACATGATTGTCTAATGATACGGTGTTTTCTACATAACGCGAGATAACCATCAAATATCTTAGCTACTCACGGCTCATACCTCAAACAAATTAATCATAAAACTTATTGACCCAAAATTAGTCATAAAAACCAGACAATTACTCTCATTTTTTATCTAAATTCGAATTATGAATTCATGGCATTAACAAGACAGAATACACAGGAAGGCCTTGTGCATACACAAGCACAATCAGCATAAGAACAACTTCAATATTTCAATGGAGGTTCCCGATATCTCAAATCCAACGCATGCAGTACATCACTTGTACATTCGGCTTCAACAGATATACCTCGCCTCAATAACACATAAAAGAAACGAAGAAAGCCATTCCTAATTAGAACTATGAATTCATGGCATTAACAAGACAGAAAACACAGGAAGGCCTTGTGCACACACAAGCACAATCAGCAAAAGAACAACTTCAAGATTTCAATGGAGGTACCTGATATCTATCAAATCCAACACACCCAATACATCACCTGTACATTCCGCTTCCACAGATATAATCACCTCGATAACAAAACAAAAGAAACGAAAAAAGACATTCCTAATTAGGGTAAAAGCAATCAGTTACCTGCAAATCAGCTGAAACCTCTACATCGGAAACCGTAGTGACCGACGACAGGTATCGGTCGGCGCCCAAGGCAGACTCTGGCAACACCGCGCGCTGCAAAACCTTATCCTTGAGCAACATGTCGGAAATCTCCCTTCTTATCTGCCTGGACACCATTTGCACTCTCCTAGGGTTCGCCATGCATATAACACTTCTAATTGTGCCATTTGGCCCATTTGTAATACCGCCGCCGAAAATGGTGCTCGTAACCACCCGGTGCGGCTGCCGACGGCAGAGACCGACGGAGGAGATGGTGCAAAACGGCCGCGCCGAATGTGCTGTAAAGCATGATAAAGCTATCGTTGAACAGTGATTTAGTGTGTGAGGCATCGGAGAAGATAATCGGTGGGATAAGAACGGGAGGGAACAAATATCTGCTCGCTGTGTAGAGGGTAGTTTGGGAATATAATTATGAGAAATGTGGATTGGGAAGCACAGTAACCATTGGGCCTTTTTCGGCTTAAAAGCCAGTCTATAACTCCATTACCTCAGTCCAAATTGTTAAATATTTAAGTGTTACAGCCCAACAATCTTTATGTGAGAGTTATAGGTAAGAACATGAATATGAATTAAAATAGTGAAGAGGAACAATAGAGAAGGCACACCCGTAAAACATAAATAATAGAGAGAAAAGATAGAGCCGTAAAATTGTATCTTTATTCATTATATCAACCATAATATATAGAATAATATTCTATAATATTGTAAATTAAATTTGATTGACTTTGGACTCATACCAACGAAGTATATATATTAATTAAGGTAATGTTTACAAAATAATTATTTAAAACAGTGAATAAATTATAACATCAAGAAAATACACAAAGGTTTAGTAATAAAGATTTGAGTGTTTCATTGTCATTAAATTAACTAAACAATGAGTGTTAGATGAAGTATTAATTTAGAACCCATTAAAAAAAGGATTATAAAATATGTATAATTGTTTTATTTGTTAGTTAGAGGAATTCAAAATATTTCTAGCCATCAATTTCAATTCAAATAGTAAAAGGTTATAACCTTTAATTCACTTTCCAGTTCCACCCAGCTATCACAATCAATGGCCATTATTTACAATTATATAAAGTGAGCACGAACAGATGGTGATAGTAAATGACAATAATATATAACATTTACGCACTTAGCCAGACAACGGGCCAATGAGTTATTATTTGAGTGCAATTACGCACTGATCAAATATCAAACACAGTTTTGCTATGGAGCCATCAGATGACTCGGCATATGGAGTCATCTATATTTATTTACCAATAGTGTATTGACACATGTCTTGCAATAAATACAGTTTGAACAGGTGTTAATACATTAAGTGGTGGATGACTCCATAGAATTTTTGATACCAAACATGCATGAACATGCTAGGATTAGTTTAAGCTAATTAAGATTTGTAGAAAGCATGAAAAAGAGACAAATAGTAACATTTGGACAACCACATATCTATAATTATATTATAAAATGTTGTTAAGAATATGTTTGGTAAAATTAACTGATAAGCTAACTTATAGCTTATAAATGACTTTCGAGCTTATAGCTTATGACTTATAGTTTAAAAACTAGTTTATAAAGTGTTTGATAAAATTAACTTATAAGCTACCTGATATAAAAAATTCGACCAACGTACTTGAACATCTACTCAAATAAGCTTATGAGACAAGCTCGATCTTATAAAAAAAAAAACTCATCCTACCAAATGAAGTTTATTTAATATAGAAACCTAACCAAATAATTTATAAGATGGTTTATTTAGTCACCAAACATTGCCTAATATGACATCATAATTTAGCTCGATGAATCGTTTTGAGATATATAATTTAGAGCTCGAATCAAAAGGAGGTAGAGTTAGCTCTAGATAGTAGCTAGATATTGAGCTGATAAGATGAATCGACATGATTTGTTACTTAGTGAGTTAAAAACACACATTTACTTACTGTCTTTAATTTATCATAACCAATCCCATTTTTACTACATACGACATTGTTTTTAGAATTTTATATATTTTAAGCATCCGTACTGTAACACAAATCGAAAATCGAGAAACTTGAAAAAGGAACTATCTTGCATTATTGGGAAATATTCATAATAAACAAACGTATAATTTACAAAACGCGTAAAAAGCGTTAATCCTTCTCATAACCATGTGTATGGGGTAGCCTAATAATTACTAATAAACAAGATTATTCTTCACAATAGTTCTAAAGTAAAGGCCCCACTATATATTCCCCAAATCTTTAAGAAAAAATTATTTAATCCACAATGTACTATAGCTGACTCTTTATAAGAAACAAATCCACTGTAGTAAAAAATGACAGATTCAGACAATAAATCATAAAAAAATCTTATCTGGGAGGACTAATCTTTGATGCTTGTGCGTTACAGCTATGAAACTTCCTATGATTTGAGGGGAAAAAAAAAAAATTTATCTTTTACATTGGTAAAATTCACCAAATGTCTCAAAGGAAAAATAGTCAAATATCATATCCGATCATGTTATATTTAAACAGTTTAGCAGAATGGGTAAACGTACAAACATAATCATTTCATCTAACCTTGTTGTGCTCAAACTTTGACCGTACAGAATAAAAATATTACAGATGTTTTTTTTTCTCTTTTGCAATAATATTACAACTTTTTGCAGTTAAACTGCCTTTTGATTTTTGCATTTTAAAATCAAAGAAGAGATTTTTTTTTCTTTTTTTTTTTTTCAAAGAAGAGAAATTTTATACTACAGCTCATGTTCTTTTTAAATATCATTATATGTTTTAACACATAAATTAAGAAGTTCTCATTTTCTTTTTAAATATCACTATGTGCTTTAACACATAAATTAAAAAAAAATTTCTCGCCAATATTAACCTTATTTAAAGCTTAACATTAATTTTCATAATTTTCCTCTCAAAACATGTAGTGTAATAATTAAATGAGAGTAACAATAAATATGTATTATAAAATATGCAAAACGTCATTTATTTAATTAATGATCAGTAAAACTAAAATAACAAATAAAATTAAAGAATTAAAGAAATAAAAAGAATCGAAGGGAATATTTATTATTACCATCATTTGAATTTACTTTTTTTTATTGTGTTTTGACATTCTTAAGTTGAGTTCATCTTGGAAACAAAAAAACTCAATTGATCCATTTCTAGATATGTATTCATTATATATCAATTCATCCAATTAATTTCACATGTTTTAAATTATCTAAATTAATATGTAAGTCAATTATGTTTTTCATATGAGATTTATCTATCTAACTACTACACAACTCAACCATCGAACATGTAGATCTATCCGTTCAATTACCGATTCAAATTGGTAAAAAAGTAAAAATAAAAATGAAAGGAGCCCACACCATCGTAATATAGTATTAAATGTCGGGGCATTTTCGGTACACAAATAGTTATAAGACGATTCGCCTTTATCTACGGGAGAGTGTGGCTGCACTGCTGAAAAATTCCAACACTCACACAAAACAGCTTTTCCACACTCCACACTTTCTCTCTCATTCTCTCTCTCACACACACATTCACGCACACTCTCATGGGAAAATACAACAACATCCGCCACATCGTGAGGCTCCGGCAGATGCTCCGGTCGTGGCGCCGGAAAGCCGCGTCCCACCGATCGCCGCCGGACGTCCCGCCGGGCCACGTCGCCGTCTGCGTGGGCCCCGATCGCCGGAGGTTCGTCGTGCGCGCGGCCCACCTCAACCACCCCGTATTCCGGCGGCTCCTCAGCCAGGCCGAGGAGGAGTACGGCTTCGCCGGCCGGCCCGGCCCGCTCGCGATCCCCTGCTGCGATGAGTCCCTGTTCGAGGAGGTTCTCCGGGCTGTGTCCCGGGCCGACCCGGATCCGGGAAGGTGCTGCCACGTGGGCGTCCGGCGCGGGGGCTCCGATTTTTTCGGCGAATCTCGGCCGTTGCTGTTCGGCTTCAGCGCCTGATCGGATTAATTTATGTATTGACGATTTTAACCCTCCTCACTTGTTTTCTTTTCCCTTATTTCCATTTTTTTAATTCATGGGAATGTGTATTGTTTTGTGGGTTGGCGGCAGCCGAGCTAAGCCGAGCTAAGCCAAGCTAAGCCGAGCTGAGTCAAACAATCCCCAGTTGACTTGGGAGCTAAAAGACGAGTTAATTTGACAATGAAAGCCTCTTGTAAATGTAGATCTTATCCTGTTTTTTGGCAGTGGATACTGATTTTCTTGCTACATTTTTTTTTTTCAGTTACATGAGTAGATTTTCAAAGCAATTGATTGAGATTTTGAGATTGATCTTTCTTAGTTTTACTATTATTTATTATCTAATGACCATTGCATTGATATGTAATTACATATGAATTCACTTTGGACCCATATAATTCATGCAACATATATATTAGCTAGTGACTTAGTGTGTGTTTTATATGTAAGATAAATTAGTTTATAACTTATTTAATTCCAACAAAGCTTATTGAGATTTTGTTTTCAATTAATTTTACTAAGCAAATTTATCATATAAGCTAGTTGTTCAATTAATTTTACCAAAAAAATGTATTATATTAGCTAGTTATTCAGTTATATCAACCAAAAATTATAAAATATAAACTCAATATTAATTCATCATATCAATTTATAGTTTGTCAACTATCAACTAAAACTTCATGTAAGTTTACCAAGTACACAATAAGTAATTTCACATATGTGTGTTAGCCAATCTAAAATGATAGGGATCTACCAAATAACTTCGATTTGAGGTTATCGGCCTTGTTGAATATTGGAATCGGCCTGATTGGTCGAAAAAAGTGTGTATTTTATATATTTAATAGTGTAATTTTTATACACTTAATTTTATCGCACTTATATATTTTTCGACTTATTTATTTATTAGATGGATTCAAGTGTTATGATATTTTTATGTTTTATTTTTAAGATATTGGATCATTTTCGTGGGACTTACATGGACAAATGACAAATATAATGGTTGATTTGGTGGAATAAGAATTGGGCTCAAATAGCAATACGATGAAGAGTTTACTGTGAATTGGAAATAAATTGAGGGCAAGATTTTGTATGGCTGGACATGTAGATGAGTTTATTTCTTGAAATTGAGTAGTGGGGACAGCTAATCACATTGATAATATTACTGGGCCTAATGGACTTTGGAAGAGAGATGGGATTTTGGGGCTGAAGACTTTTGCTTGGGAGAATTTTATTTGGCCGAGGACTGCAATTAGGGAATAAAAATAAAAAGACATTCACGCTGCTCGGGGATATATATTATTCACGAACCAGAACAGAGAGCTCTATTCACGCACTGGAAAATTCACGGAGCAGACGCACGGGAAAGCAGACGGAATACGAGAGAGCCCGATCAATCGCGGAGGGAGGCCGCACCCGCACACGAGAAGGATAACTTTATTCTTCTCTTGCTTTTATTATTTATTATGTTAGAGTAGATTTTCTTTCTAGTTCCGGGAAAGTGGAACCCTACGATTGACTATATTTTGATTGATTTATATGGTTGAGGGTTTTAATATCTTTTTGGAATTGCTTGTGTTATTTTGAATAATTAACCATAATGTATTGAGTATTATTTAGATTGATCACATAAAGTAGACTTTTCATCTCTACATCTGAATTAGACCTTCAATCCGTAATTGTTGTTGTGTTTAGTTCATTAGAGGTAACCGGAAGACGGTAACTACCGGGGATAACACGGTCTATTTAAGTGAACGAACGCGGTTGAGTTCATTACTTAGTCTAGCCTATTTTTCTAATTCGTAAAGCGGCTAATTGTATTAAATCTTGAAAACGTTATTCTGGACTGTACAAGAAGTCAGGTTTAATCGTAGAGCGTCTCGCGGTTAAATTAAAATTAAGGAAAAATTCGAGTAACAGACCGTGTCGTTGCCTAGGACTAGTAATTTCATAAGATAGCGAGATTTGATTTCAAAGTTGATTAGACGAGTCAGTCCAGGGTGTAGACGGAACTGTGAACTAAATTTTCTCTTTATTTATTTTACTTTATTTTTATTTTATTGTATTGTTTAGATTTACTTATTTAATTTGGATCTTAGTTATTAAAACAACCCTCCTTTTTATCGCTTTTCATTATTCCGATTAATACAAGAATTTCACAATTTATTCACACTCCTCGTGGGATCGACCCTTAAACGGGATATCATAATTCTTTAGAAAACGGGATCAACGTCAAAACTAGTGAAAGCACATGAAATACGATATAAAATGAGCATAAACAAACTCGTCGAGCACAATCAATGAATATTTGAAAAAAAAAATATTATGTTATTTTTTGTGAAAAATGAGTTTTTAAAATTGTAGCCCAGTCTACTCTTAATTTCTGGATCCGTCCCTGATTACATAAGATTAAAAAGTTAATTATTTTTTCTTTTACAATATATACTTCGTTACTTAAAAGATCTCTAACATTTATTATAATATTTCAACCTAATTAGACTAATCAAAACGGGCCTGGGCCCGCGGGCCGCCCCGCCAAACAGGTGGGTTGGGTTGGCATTTTACAGGCCCGCCAAATAGTGGGCCTAAACGGGCTGGCCCATGAGGGCTGCAGGCTTTGGCGGGCGGGCCTGACGGGCCGCGGTCCAACCCACCATTACAAAAAATAATAATAATAATAATATATTATATATGTAATGTAAGTATGTAAGTCAGTAAGTGTGCTGTATGTAACTATGTATTAGGAATGGGTTGACGCCTTTAAATCTGGTATGAATAATCTTTCATCTATGATTTTTAATTTTTTTTTCATTAAGTCTTTAAAATTAAAAAATAAAAACAAATTAAAACAAATGAAGAGACAGAGTTGCGGTCTGGGGTCTAATTTAATTCACAAACCGTAAACCCTAGTCTCTCACTCTCAAGTCTCATCTCCTATTCGTCTCTCTCAACCCCGGCGTGCGACGAATCGGCGACCTTCGAGCGGCGGAGACGGTAACGGTGAGACCTTCGAGGCTTCAACTTGAGCGGTGGGTCCTCGGCTCGTGTGGCGACTTGCGAGCGGCGAACCTTCAAGGGGCAACAGCAGAGTCTCCGAGCGGCGCCGACAACGACAAGGCAACTTCATTTCGGTAAAAGGTAAAGATGACTGAACCTGAACCTCTTTGATTCTTTGTCTATGTATTCTATGGGGTGTATTTGTGTGTATTTGTTTGTGATTATGAATTGATTTGCCTTATTTATAATGTATGCAATTGATTCAATCCTGACAAGCAAGTTTTAGTTTTTTNNGAAATTTGGCAGGCCAGCCCGCCCAACCCGCGGCCCATGGAGGGGTGGGCCGGACTGGCCATTTAGAGGCCCGCCAGGATGACGGCCCGCTTCGCCCCGCCAAAAGGTGGGTTTTGGCGGGCTGCACAAGTCTAAACCTAATTCATCACTTGCAAACAGTACAAAAATCTGAAATCACGTTTGACTTTGATAATGATTGGGCCCCAACTAAAACGTTAGAAAATTTAGTTAGAAAAAAACCAATGAAACATATTATATACAGCCCACGAGATCTGAAATATACTATCAGCCCAAATCTTTTGATCCTTTTGCCACATCCATCAAACACATTCCGGACGTTGTCGGAGAAGAACACGCAAAGACCCAATGGAGGCGCCGGCGACGGAGGTAAAGAAGAAAAGCTCGCCGGTGATACCATGGATGAGAGATCCAGTTGATATTAGTATCTCCGGCTCCTGCCCGCTCAGTTCTCTCCGTTTACTTAACCCCAGGTTTGTTTTTTCTATGTACTTTAATTTTTCCATGCCTAGTATTCCTTGTTGTTTTTTTTTTTTCCGTTGAAGTTTGAGCTGGTGTAGGAAAAATCCATGGCTGTCCTTTCTTTTCGTTTATCTACATTGTTAATTTTTGTTTGTTTCTGGGCCTTGCTTTGTTGTCTCTGTGTTGTTCAATATTTGGATGTGAATTCTCTCTTTCTTCGCAGTAACATATTACAATCGAGGTATTCAATTTCAAGCGCAAAGGCTTGGGCTTTTTTTTTGTTTGTCTCTTTCTTTTTTGTTCTGCCTTTTTTGCTCGTCACATTACCAGCTCTTGTTTGTATTCCAGTTTGTTTCGTGTGTTCTTATGTATTTTGCCTGAAACATCAATTTTATAACAATATATATATTTTTTAAATTTTTTTTTCATATTATCTCTTTTTATAGATTAGAGACAGCTTTGGATAGTATGGGAATCACATCACTCTTTCCTGTGCAGATAGCAGTTTGGCAAGAAACAATTGGGCCCGGTTCTTATAATCGAGACCTCTGCATAAATTCGCCCACAGGGAGTGGGAAAACTCTTGCTTATGCTTTGCCGATTGTGCAGACGTTATCTTCTCGAACAGTAAAATGCCTTCAAGCTCTGGTCGTGTTGCCCACTCGTGACTTGGCCGTGCAGGTTACATTTTTACTGTCTCAAAGTTTCAAGTTTTACGTTATAATCACTAAGTTTTGGCTGAACTTTTGACATTCCTATTCAAAATGGGTATTATCAGTTTATCACCATTAGATTTAATGGTGACTTCTTATGTTCGTTGTTTGGCTGGAAGAACATATGTATATATACCTTGAGTTCATGAGTGTGCCGTAAGTTTGGCTGAACATATATTCTGAACTCATAATACAAGAAAATGGCTAAGAAGTGCAATTTTGTGTAATTATTTCATTGTAATTTTTATTTTCTTATCCTCCCCACTTTTCAGGTTAAGGAAGTGTTTGCTGCTTTAGGCTCTGCAGTGGGCTTGTCTGTGGGTTTGGCAGTGGGCCAATCTTCCATTGCTGATGAGATCTCATTGTTGGGTTCGCTATACCCTACGGGGTAAAACGCAGCGGAAATAAAACAAAATAAATAAGCATTTATCTAATAAATACTAAACCCCTCGGTTCAAATAGCGATTGTTACGATCGGCATCTTTTAAAATCACGTATAAATACGAATTTTGATTTGTAATAAGTAATTTCGAAAATTACCTTTTATCTTGAACTCCTTCTTTATACGACGATGATTGAGGAAATCAATTCCCGATTGTATGTGACTTTCACCGTCTCTTGTTACTCACCTGAGGGATCCAAGTGTCTCCCCTCTAAAAGTATCCACCCTTTTGTAATTCAATCTCGAGAACTAGTTTCTTCGCTAGTAGAAACTTCTCGATTTGTTCAATTACTATCAAAATATTTATTTTAGAGGAGATTATAATTTTAATCTTTATTAAAATTTCAAGAACTATTCTTGATATGGAAATAATTCTCTAAGTTCAAGAACACTTCTTGATTTACAACTCTTGTGATTTTTCTCTCTCAATTTTCTTGTTAATACAAGTGTGTCATTTGTACATCACATATGTACACCTATTTATACTAAAACATTTAGATCACAAGATGTCATATTGTATTTTTAAAATCATTATTTTATTCAAATTAGATGGCATCTAGATCTAAAATGATTTTAATAAAAAAAATGTCATTAGATCCCATCTAATAATATTTTATTTATTATTTTAATCTTTGATAAAAATTAATCAAAATATATTATTTCACATATTTATAAAATCTTCTCTTATTATAATCATATTATAATATGAATTTGAATTTTAAAATCTAATTTTAAAATCCAACTATTAATTTAGTAATTTCATTAATTACTTAATTAATATCCAAAATATAATTAATCAATCAAATTGATTAATTTAGTATATTCCTTTAATTGATATCTAATCAAAATTAGAATTAATTAAATAATCAAATTATTTAATTAATACTTGTCAATTAATTATAACTCTTTAGAAATACTAATTACAAATGATCTACATTCAAAATTGGGTGTGACCTTTTTAGGTTCACTATTAATACTAGTAGTGAGTTTACAACTCCTTGTAATTTGAATTAATCAAATTAATTCTTATTATTTGAATTAACTTCTTAATTCAAGAACCCACATATCATGGGAACATCTAGCAAGTAGCATGAATCTAGTATTAAGTGAATAGCGAGTAAACCTTTTCGATTACAAGTCCATACATGTAAAATCCTTTCGACATCCAATTTCCCGATTAAATCTTGGGTATGATTTAGTCGAAACCCAAATTGATTTAATAATTATGATTCCATTTCAAGTTTAATAATTCATATATGAATCTCTATTCATCCCACCTTGGCCAAGGACTTTGAATTACAAACTATGAAACACATAGGAAATTCACTTATCTCATAAATGTCGAATCCTTTGTTGGCCACTGACAAACTTTCATTCATATTAATATAATACCCAAAATATCCCTTTATACGACTGTGCTAGCAATCAAAAGGATAAATCAAAGTAAAATATAATATGCACAAAGTTACTATCGTGCCTCAAGTCTAAGGATCAATCATGTACTATTGTAACATGAAAATTCTTATTCGACATAATAAACTTTAATTCAGACTTTTCATACGGTCATGTTCAGTGAACTTGTTCTCTAACAAGCACCCTCATATATGTATTTGCGATCCACGCTAATGTTGATAGAATGCAACATTCTTGTCAAACAAGTATACATCATATGTACAAGTCTTTCCAGATTATTCGATATCCCATCTCGAAATATCCAACGACTTGGAACTGTATTTAAGATCACAGCTTTAAAGATATGTTCCATGATTACCATCAAATGCGCAACCGTGCCTTATTGCCATTAATGATCTAAGGACTTTATCATATGTACAAATATAGGATAAATGCAAAAACATAAGATAAAACAATGCCTTAATAATATAATTCCAATAGATTATTTTTACAAGTAGAAATAAATCCAGTCTGATTGGAACGCCGGGTATTCTACTCCAACACTCATCTCTCATCGAGAAGCCCAATATGGGAACTAGCATTTGTGATGAAGCTGAAGATTTCGTTCGGGAGCCAAAAAGTTCGGTGGATATACTTGTAGCTACGCCAGGAAGGCTAATGGACCACATCAATAACACTGATGGTTTCACGCTCGAGCATCTATGTTACCTTGTAAGCAACAAAAATCTTCTCATTCTCACTTGTGTAGCTGTACTTTTGTTTATATTTTTCATAAGATCCCTATGGATTTTATAGACTTCGGCTATGTTTGTTATTGTAGACAAATATGCTAGTTTATAGCTTATTTGGTTAGCTTATAAGCTTCCTATATATAAGCTTCGTTTGGTAGGATGAGGTTTTTCAAAAAGCTCGAGATTAACACATAAGCTTCTTTGGTAGCTTTTCAAATAGTTGAAATTTTTATTTTAGCTAGCTATCAGCTAATTTTACAAACAGTTTTATCATATAAGCTAGCTTTTTCGCTATAAGTCATAAGCTACAAGCTATAAGCTCGAAATTCACTTATAAGCTACAAGCTAGCTTATCAGCTAGTTTTACCAAACATTGCCTTAGTTGATAAAACGATAAGCTAGCTTGTAGCTTTTAAGTAAATTTCGAGCTTATAGCTGATAGTCTATGACTTATGGTTGAAAATAAAAGTGCTTGATAAAATTAGCTGAAATAAAAAATTTCAGTGGGCTTGTTTGAAAAGCGACCCAAGGAATCTTATGAGATAAGCTCGATCTATTTTAAAAAAAAGTTCGTTCTACCAAACTAAGCTTATTTCAATACTAAGCTAACCAAATAAGCTATAAACTAGCTGATATGCTTACCAAACACAGCTTTGTGCTCCTCTCTTTGCGTTATATGTCTAAAGAGACTGATTAGTTAAATACTATATTAGGTGGTTGATGAAACAGATCGGTTACTAAGGGAAGCCTACCAATCATGGCTGCCTACTGTCCTTCAATTGGCTTATTCTCGAAATCAAAATCCAATTCCATTTTCTGATGATGATATTCTTCCTACATTCGGCTCACTCAAAACCATTTGAAATTTGTCAGTATTGCTCATTTTCTCATTCGTTTTGCTTTCGTTCCAGTTAAATGACTATTTATTTATTTATTTATGTATTCTTGATTTGCGAAACTGTTGGATATTTTTCCAGTGGGGTCGAGAGGGGGTTTAAGGGCAGGGCTCATTCGAGACTCGCGAAGATGGTCCTATCAGCTACACTAACTCAAGATCCGAGTAAGATTGCACAGCTTCATCTTCATCATCCATTGTTATTGACTACTGGATGAAAGTGCTACCAGCTTCCCGAACAACTGAAATCTTATAAAGTGGTAAGAAAAAAAAAAAAGTTCTTTGTTTAAAAAAAAAAAAAACGGATAGATATTCTGCAAAATCTTTTATTCTGAAAAAACCTTGGTATGTATATGCAGTTGTGCACGTCAAAGCTTAAACCACTTTATCTACTGGCATTGTTGGGAACTTTGCAAGGGGAGAAAAGCATTGTTTTCACGTCATCCGTAGAGTCGACTCACAGACTTTGCACATTGTTAAATTTCTTTGGTGACCTTCAAATTAAGATTAAGGAGTACTCTCGTCTGCAGCGTCAGTCCATAAGGAGGTGATATGGACATGCCTTCTCTCTCTCTCTATCTCTATCTCTATCTCTATCTCTCTCCCCCTCTATCTCTCTCTCATTGGATACTAAGGCAAAATTGCATTTTTAGTCCTGCTCGTTTAAAGCCATAACAATTTTAGTCCCAAGGTTCCAACATTTCGCTTTTTGGTAATGTGATTTAATATTTTGCTGCGATTTTAAGGATTGAAATTGCAACAAATTCCCAAATTTTCAATTAGCAAACAATTTAAGTACTGTAACTTAAAATTTTGTTGCAATTTAGACTGAAATTGTTGCAAAATATTAAATTACAGAAACAAAAGGAGAATCTTGGAACTAAAATTGTTATGACGTTAAACAACATGACTAAAAATGCATTTTTGCCGATACTAAATTAGTGAATCTTAGCTATCTTGGCTGTAACATCTATCTCTCTCTCTCTCTCTCTCACAGCAAGACATTGAGGGCATTTCGGTCAGGAGAAGTGCAAGTGCTGATTTCATCTGATGCAATGACTCGAGGAATGGATGTTGAAGGTGTGAAAAATGTGATAAATTACGACATGCCCACATATACGAAGACCTACATTCACCGAGCCGGCCAAACTGCGAGAGCTGGGCAAATCGGGTGTTGTTTCACGCTTTTGCACAAGGATGAGGTACTTTTAATTGATAATACAACAATATGAATTGCCATAGATTTAGAACTTTCTAGAAAAAAATCTTGTCTTCATGCTTTTTGCCTTCCGGAATTTTCTGAACACGTGTTGGTTTTAGGTTGCACGATTCAACAAGCTGTTACGAAAAGCTGACTATGATTCTTGCCCCATTTTTTCTGTTCCATCTGAGTCGGTAGAGTCATTTCAGTCCATGTACAGAACAGGTAAATTCATTATCATCGTTATTATTATTTTTCTAAAACATTTTGTGGAGGATAATCTTTTTTTTTTCCCCAAACATGAGTTAATGTACTTCATATCTTTCTGACACAAATATGGTTAACAGATTGCAGTGAACCATAATGTTATTTTTCTTGGTACATTTGTGTCTTTTGTGTTTTCAGCTTTGGAACGACTAAAGAGAGTGTCGAATCCGAAAAATTTAGAAAGGGCAGTGTTAGGAGCAAGCACCCAGGTGTTGTTCGCAAAAAGGCGAAAGCTGCCTGAAGAATATGATAAAAAAACAAGGTCTCTTGTTTTATTTTCAAGTATTATAATTTTAAACTGTGTATGGGTGATTTTTTTTGTATTTGCTAAAGTTGTGGTATAATTCTATTTTGAGCCACATTTATAACATTTCTCGTTATTATTTCAGATGTACGGTCGAATTTGCCCCCGTACTTTATAAAATAACTGTTACGCAGGCTTAATATTTAGACAACCATATTTTTTCATTAAATGTACATACATTAATTAATTAATTAAACTAAAAGTATGACATTTTGTAACATAAATATGTATTTTCTTTTAATGTATGGTAGTGACTTGTAGACGGTAGGCTGCCTTTAGGGGTGTGAACAAGTCAAACCAAGCTCGAGCTCGAGCTCGGCTCATTAACTAAATGAGTCAGTAATCAAGAGTTTGAGCTCGATTTGATATCAAGCCTTAACGAGTCGAGTCGAGTCGTGTATCGCTCGTCAGCTAAACGAACTTTCAATAAGCTCAAGAGCGGCTTAGTTTGTTTTGATGTTAATTTCACACAAGAGTTTGTGTAAAATTAAAGCATATCACTTGTAGTCATTTCACACAAAAAATAGTGTATAAATGGTATGTCCATATTTTTTGGCGCCGGCCGCTATAGCCGACTCCTTGGCTTGGTCTTCGATCTTGAGTTGAATAAGTAGCTAATTAATTAACCTCCACAAGTTCCACTAACTTGCTGCCTAATTTCGCGGCAAAACGTGTAGGGGAAGAAAAAACTAATTTCTCCACACAAAAAATACCCATTTGCTCTCCACCTTTCAATTTCCACCAATAGTTTCTTTTCTTTTTTCTTTTCTTTTTTCTTAGGTTCCTTGCTCACCTTATATATATATATAGCCCTTCAACTTTGAAACATTAGTTTTCTCCACACACACCAAACACTCTCTAAAAGAAAGAACAAAAAATTCCCTTCAAAAGAAAAGAAAAATACATAAATTAGAAGCTCATTAACAAGATCTAATCATCAATTCATCATGAGGAAGCAAATTTGGGTAGTAGAGGTTGCACCATCAGCCTTCATTTATCCCCTCAAGGCCTCGAATGCGCCTAAACTCGAGACAATCGTTGAAGAAAGTTCCGAAAATACGAACATCACATCGCAAAAGGCTATCTACCTTGTGCCCGTAATCCTATCTTTCACGTCCTACCTTTTGATCAACAGACTATTTGTATTGTGATTGCAAATGGAGGATTGATTATGACCTATGACAATGCTCGGATTTTTTGTTTCTCGATTTTCGCATGTGTCTCGGATGAATTTCTGTGTAGCGTGAGAGCTATTAGCACGTGTTGCGATGTTTTAAGGGATTTTGAGGAAGATTGTGCAGTGAAAATGTAAGAGTTGTATGGTGCAAGAAAAATGGTACGAAAAATGGGGTTTAATTTTCAAATTTGGTCTTGATTTTCCATGGGAGATGGGGTGAAATAAAGAATTGAGGAGGATTTTGATGATTTGTAGCTATAAGGAGCTCAATTGATATTGATAGATGATAGTGTGCTCTTGTCTGTAATTTGTATAGCTACGTGGAATATGAATGTTTTCTTCTATGTTGTCGTGTTTTTTTNTTCTTTTTTATAATAAGGCCGTTGTTAGTTGGGGTTAATTAGTAGTTATATATATTTTTTTACAGATATATATAATTTTTTACATGACATACATTAGAAAATAGCATAAACAAAGTTATATCATTTCTCAATACAAGTATAAAATTTTTATTGAAAAAAATATATGATGAGCTTCAGGTTCTATCATTTCTTATTGTTGGTAAGGGCAATAAGAAATATTGTTAAATTCAGCCATTTTAAATTAAGGACATTAAATTTGGTTTTGGTTTATATTTGGAACTTCAGGTTCTATTTATTTTATTTAGGGTTTAATTGCAAGTACAAAATGAAATAATTGCATTTGTTTTTGGTTTATAGTGTTCGTAATCGTCATACTGGTGTTTCGTTCACAATATTTTCATCAATGTGTTTAGCTGATAAATAATTATATATATTGGTTGAGTTGCATGATCAAGTTTCTATAATAAGTTTATTACAAGTTTAAAATTTATTTACGTTACCTATGATGTTATTTGTTATTCTTTGAATAAAACTTTATAATGTTCTCGAGTGGATGATGTGTTTCTTTAAAGTTTATACTCAGTTTTTGTGCATGTAACTCGTAATGTAAATTGTATATTAAATACAAAATAACTAGGAGAATTTACAATCTAAATTAAATATTCAATCTCTCTTTCTCTATATATATATTTGCTGATAAGATTCAATAAATTTTATTTAGTCAACAATTAATAATAATATGAGTTTATTTAATAAAAATAGATTTTTATTTAATAAAAACATGTTCACCATTTAATAGTAATATATGTATTTTCAGTTACACAATTTATTTTGACAGGTCTTATTTTGGATGGTGCCAATTTCTGTGACGCCTTTTTATGTCCTAAATACATAATATTTTATTTTTATATTGATACTATATATTTTTGGTATTATATAAATACATAGTTCACAACTAATTAAGAACGACTACAAACATCTCTATTTTCTATTGGAGTCATACAATAACAAAAAAATATTTTCGGATACTACAAAGATACAACAAATATTTTGAAAAATTAAATTTCAGAGTCACGAGTCAAAGAGGTTTAACGATAATGGTTTGTTGTGATGGAAATTCTGACGATAAGAAAACCACAAATATTGTATATAAAAAAGTATTTAATAATATTTAGATTCATTTTTTCAAATTATTTTTTTCTGTATGATTTATTTTATTTTATATTTTTAATTACTTTATCTTCTATTATATCGTTTTTTGTGTAAATACACGGGGTAAATGAGGTTTAATACAATTACAACATCAATTCCTCCAAACATTATCATCAAAACCAATTTTTTACCACACTTCATAAAACCTCAACCGACATTCACAATTTTTCTCGACTTCAGATACTTCCCAGTTCCCCTCATTTTTTTTCCACTGTTTAATTCGTGATTTCGCGATTCCAGGCGCCGCCCCTCCAGATGGGCGAACTTCATTTCCAACGCCCCTTTTCTCTCCCGCCTCCGCCGTTACCTCCCCTCCATCCGCCGTCCTCAACCCGGGACGACGCCGTTCCTCCGCTGTCCTCACTGAGGGACGACCCTCTTGCTTCGCCGCCGCCGCATCCTTTCGATCCCAGCCAGTGGCCACCGCACGTGCTCGCGCAGTCTGGCGCGTCGCGCTGTCATCGCAAGTCGCACCGGGCATGAGTCTGCAGCCAAGCGGGATGCGCGGTCGAAGTCGCGGGGTTGGACTGGTCGCTATCGTGGTCGCGTGGTTTGGCGTCGCGATGCCCCAATGGGTCGCGCTGGGCGTGCGTCTGCGGTCACGCGGAACACGCTGTCGAAGTCCCGCGGTTGGCATGGGCGCGCGACCGTCGTGCTGTCTCTTCGGGC